AGGGGATTACAGATTACGAGAAATATTAATTTTTGTTGAACTAATATAAAATATTATTACTGTATCAATTATTAAGATTACATTTATTCTGGGAGCAATGAAAAATAAAAATACATGTGTCCCTCAAATGAAAAGACCACTTAACAGCTTTGTTTCTTTTACATATTTTTGTTTCTTCAGTTAGTACTGGAGAGCTCACAGACGGATGACCATTGTATCATTTAAGAGCGCCCTCCTTAGTCTAACCTTCATAAACTTAAAACAATCCTACCAGGTACTGCTGAGTCATTTTGGTGGTTTTTTTTTGTATTTTTGTGTCTGCATTTGTAAATATAACATGATGGAAATAAATATATCATAAAGATAAAAGAAATTTGTTAATTTGGGACTATAAAAAAGTGGTCTTAATTGGAAGTCATCTTTAATTGGAAGGGTCTTCAACTAGAGGGAGGTCTGTATGGAATTAAACTGAGAGAAGTTGAAGGCCATTGAAGTGGGGAAGAGTGCATAGACACATTTTGTGAAGTGACCCACAATGGTCATTTCATCTTGATACATTTACTTATGATGCTAGCAAAGTCAACATACTGTATTTCTATATCGTCAGCAATTTAGTCATTTGATTGCACCATGCACTTTAGTACTCCACCCTAACCACCATAACTCCAGTCTCGCTGACTTATTGTTAAGGTTTAGGGTGGAGTAACAAAGTGCATTTAGCGATATTTTTTTACCTGATCAAATATATCCGATTCAAGCTGCCCCTTTTTGTCAATGTTGCCAAAAAGAAAGCTGGTAAGAGCAGCATTGGAGCCACCCTCCTCTTCATCTGAATCACAGTGTTCATCTCTTGAATCACGAAGCATGGTTCAGTTTCTGCAACCGTTATACATCCTTTTAAATGAAAATAAAGTCAAAACATAAACAACGCTTCAGTGCAGCTCAAAAAAGGATTCCATTTAGGAACTGTCTGCAGACCTACACTGAAATGCTCATCAAAAATGGAATCAATGACAATTGCAACAATAAAAAAAATTACTGTTCATGTGGTTTACATACCATTTACTATAAAAACAAATATCTTAGGCAAGTCAAATGGCGAAGCGGTTAAGGCAGGTGCCTGCAACCACAATATCGGCGCTGGTTCAAACAGCATGCTCGGCTATGGTTCTGGAGGTAGAACAAGTCTTCTCCAACAAAGACTATAAACCGTATGCTTAGTGTACACACTTGACTCATGTGCACTTCAAAGAACCCAGTACATATTTTGAGATGAGTAGGGGGTGTGTACTAGTAAATACAGCCACTGTTCACTTGTCATGGGATTGCCACTTTGAAATGTTCACTGTTTGGCATATAAAGCTGAATAAAAATTAATCTTTTTGAGGACATTAAGGTCTAGCTCCGGAGGCAAAATATTTGTTGATATGTTGTAGAATTGACTTTTCTAAGACACATGAAAGTTGTTTGACGAAAAACTGAGAAAGGTGAATGAGATACAAAAGAGGAAAAAGGGGCATTACCGCCAATTTTTACACCTTCTTTTTGAGGTAGTAGAATTTAAAAAAAAAACCAAATTAATTAAAAAACATAATAAATAATAAAAAACAAACTTGGTTTATACAGTATACAGTAGTTTAGGTGATTTAATGCCAGTTAAATACACTCCATGATACAGATTGATGTTACAGTGGCCTTAACTTTAAAGTAAAAATTCAAAAAAATTTGTGTCAATCATTTTGAAAAAAAAAAATTGCCCCTCCCCAAACCTTTTACTTCGCAAAAGTAGCCTCGAAAAGAAGCTCATCCAAAGTTTGCAAAAAAAGAAGCTCTACTGAGTTTCAATTCGAGGTTTTATGCCGTATGGTATATATAGCGGTGCACCTACAAGAATAGGCCTGGATCGATCCTACAACTTATCGACATAACGCTTGTAGTATTGATAAGTAGGGGATTACCCCAGTAGTATTGATAAGTAGGGGGTTACCCCGGTGTACTGGTTCACTCGGCCCCTGTCGTGGACAGATGAAAGTGCGCATGTTTACTGGCTGCGGTGGACATGAAGTGACCCTCAGGGGAGGAGAAAGTTATTGAAAAGTGCAAAATCTAGTCCCGAGCACATAGAGACCTCGTTTACCTGCGCTATATAAATCCATCTATTATTATCATTATTATTATTACCCTGGGCCTGACACGCGAAAATTGGTCCGGGCCAAAAAATGTCCGCCGGACAGATTTTGGCCGCCAAAATCGGTCTGCCGGACTACTAAAATTGGTACTCCGTTGACATTAGCCACTAAAGCCAGTCCCGCTTGGATAAAATTGGTCTGTGTCGGACTGGCCACTTCACTTGTATCTCGACTGCTGCTCGTAGGGTATGATTGCTGTCTCTTTTACACATCTAGATGTGTATAAGAGACAGCTATTTTGTCTCTCTTCGATAGCTTTACATTAACCACTGAAGCATGTATGATTTGTAGAACATGCTACTTATTTTGCTCGTATTTTCTTATCTGACAGACTAACAGGCCAGCACCCATCCTAAAATTGAGTAACATTTACAAATTTTCATAAATATTATTTTCTATGATACAGCATCAGTCAAATTGAGTTTAGAAAGTAATGTACCAGCTAAAAAATTGCAAAACAAAACATATGTTAATAATAATAATGTTGGAAAACTTATTTACATTCATTAGATTTTCTTTCCTTTCTCAGAGCAAATGAAATACGAGCAGATTATTGTAAACAAGCAGTAGTAAGTCCCTTCTTTTCATTTTAGGCCCAATAAAAAAATATTAGTATCACCATGTCTTCTATGGTATTGAAAAATATGTATTTTTGGGGAAAAAAGTGTTTTTGGAAAATAATTACATTTTTTGTCCTTTTATTTTCTTTTTCTTTTTTTTTTAAATTAAATAATAATTGTTTGTATTATGTTAATCATGTATTTACTTTGAATATCAATGCAACAGCAAACAATCCAAACAAAATTCATAGTTAACGAAATGAACCAGTCGAATACACGCATTAATTCTCAGATGGTTTTTTTCTTTGTAACAGATATATGGGGAAGAAACCATTCAAACTGTGAGCAAACCAAGAAAAGTAACAATCATATTAAATCCTGCTGCCAGAAAGGGGTGAGTTTGCAAACTGCCAAGACAAGAAAACAAAATTAAACATTTTATCTTTAATCAAATTTACATGACTTTTCTTGTTTTATTTTAAAGGAAAGCTAAAAAGCTGTTTGAGAAGAATGCTGCTCCTCTGTTGCATCTAGCTGGTATCAATGTAGAAATAATTAAGGCAAGTTTGATTCTTTTTCTTCATTGACGGTGACTTGAGTAGAAACTTTTTATTTCTGACCTGGTAGGTCACCAGTCAGGTCAACAGTTACTGTATATGTCTCATAGTGAAAGTGGGTTCATAAGAAAAGTTTAAAATGCAGTGATCCAAGTTACTGTACTTTTTTCTAAAAATAATATGGTATGAATCATGTCTAGTGCTTCTTTTATTTGTTTTAAATGTTTATTTAGTAGCTGTTTTCCATTGACCATCTTAGATTTGTCATCCTGGTGTAAAGAAAAAAAATGCCCTTATTCTCCCTTTTTTAAATATTAAGAGAAGAAACTACTTTTTTTTTTTAACTTGGCCTAAACAGAACCTTTCTTATATGAATTTATATAGTTTCAATTTCTCTTAATTTAGACTGAATTTGACGGCCATGCTAAAGACTGTGCTGGAGCGTTGGAGTCCACCGACGCATTGGTGGTTGCTGGTGGAAATGGTACCGTAGGAGAGGTTATAACCGGCCTGCTTAGACGAAGTGATCAACAATCAGTCAGCAAGAACTGGCCTATAGGATTCATCCCTATCGGTTTCACGAATACATTAGCAAAGTTTCTGTATTTAGATTCGGAATCTGAAGTCAGGTATGCAGTAACAAAATATTCCAAAATTGATATTTCAAGACTAATTTACTTTGAAGTAACATTTTATGATATGGGATTCAGACTCGATTTATTGCTATTACAAAGTGATGTATACTATATAACGTCTGCTTCGATAGGTGGATGTGTAATGCAGCAATGGCAATAATTAAAGGCATGACCACACCAGTGGATGTGATGTCCATACAGGTAACTAACCTTTGACATCATTACTCTACCTTTCAACTTAGATGAATGGACAGTGCATTCATTAAACCAAACAACAATGTCATGCCTAACAGTATATGCACAGGGTTCTCAATGACCCAGAATGCTCAACTTAGTAAAATCAATTTCTGAGTGTCTCAGAATTCCAGTATAAAATGGAAAATTTGTGTAGGTAGTACCTGATGATAAATGACACTGCTATACTTAAAGTAAAAAAAATGTATATAAATATTAATTATTATTATTGTTAATGAATGTTTGTAGGATTCTGAAGAAAGGTCGGTGTATGGATTGTCCAAGTTGGAATGGGGCGAATACAGAAATGTACGAGATAGAATTCCCAAGTAAGCATTGATATAAATTACATTATATACACTACTTGCTTGATGTAAATAATACTTTTGTACACACATTCATATTATTATAGTTACATGTGTCTTGGATATGTCAGGGATTTTGTACAGTAATATCAAAGCAAATTAAATACTTTCTGATTTCTACAGGTATTGGTACTTAGGACCACTAAAGTCCAAATTTGCATATGTTTTTGCAACTGTTCAGGTAAGAAAGCTATTCTTTGATACTCAATTTTAATGTAATCATTTTATAACAAATTGTAAATATATTGATAATAATAATAGTAATAATATTTATAAAATTTATTGATGTAAATTTAACAATTGCAACAATGATTTTAATGATTCATGTTAGAAATGATTTCCTGGTAGATTTTTAGGTTTTTGTTTTTATTCCTTGTTTATTAAATAAAGAAGCTCAAACTCAAGGGGTTAATCAACCAATGAATTATGATAACAATTTATAGTTTTTTACAATTGTGGTTAAAATCACTTTAGTTTTGAGAAATTTAATTTTAAGCACGCAATGATAACAATTTATTTTCTAAATAGGAATGGCCACCTGTATTTAAAGCTCATCTTGCATATCGTCCACCTGTAGATGTTCCTGAAGAACCAGAGGTTAATCAACAGCAGTATAGTTTCTTTAGTCGCTTGTTCTCTTGGATTTGGAGAACAGAACAAAAAGGTATTTTGAAAGTGACCAGTGGAGAAAAACCCAAAACATTATTATTGTACAATAGTAATATACTGAATTTAAAATAGCCTTATTAAAGAAAAAAAAATATTTGTTGATTATCCTCTATTGTGAAGGATATATTGAAAAAATATAGGCTCACCCAAGGAAAAATGCTCTTGTACTAGAAGTATTAACTAGAACATTTCTTTTCTCCATGAATTTCTTAGAACCAGAAATTGAAGAAGTTGAGGAGATTCCTTGGAAACAGGTTGATGTATCAACGCTTGAGTTCTCTGCTGAAACACATAATGATAATGTAGAAAATGCTTTAAAGGTAAAAAAAAACATAAACATAATATGAAGACAGGGGTCCAAAGTCGGAAGAAGTCATTTCTGGGAGATCTGTGGGGATGGGTTCATTTCCGGAATCTTTTGACCCCTGTGAAATAAGTCAACCTTCACCTGTGCCAAGAGGCAGTGCTAGTGCATAGGAATGTCGCGTATCATATACAGATGAGATATGGGATATATTTACTACCATACTCCTTGCATTAAGATGTAATGTTTTGGTAGTTGCTTTTGATATAATATTATGTACTGTACTTTTCCTACAGACTACTAGAAGCATGAGCATAGAGACCCTGCCAACTGACATCACAAAAACAGGCTTCATCAAAGAAGGGTAAGGAAAGTACAACTATTATGAAACATTATTATTGATATAAATTTTGTTTGTTTATTCAGTGTAACCAGTTCTCCAAAAGAGACCTAATGTCTTATAACCTTGCAAGTCCTTAAATCAGTCTGAGGGAGTTGTATCTTTTGATAGGATTTTTAATTCAGGAATCTTGGAATTGAAAGGGCAGTATCCTCACAATCTACAGAGTTCAATTAGCTAGTCTCTGCTTAACCATCTTTCAAGTGGTTTATCTAGGAGTCTTGAAATCGGCGGTGGAGTGGAGGAGGGGGAGGGACACGAAAGTGAACTGGGGGTTGATGATTAAGTAAGGGGACGCTATCTCGCAAAATAAGGTGATATGAGGTGATTTTTTTTTCTACTTTCACATTAATTTTTTGCTGCAAATATCAAATATTTTCAATGGTCGGGGGGGGATGGGAATTTGGGGGTGCAGCCCCACCCTCTCCATGCCCCACCCTCAAATGCAGTGATATACAGTATCACTGCATTTTTCTCCAATGACCCATTTTCTGACATGAATTTTTTATATAGTTGGAGAAGAGTATCTAAGGCAAAAGACAATAAATCTGAGATCCAAAGTGAAACATTGCAAGTTGGTGAGTTTAAGTTGACACCAGTGGAGCCAGAGGTAAGCACTGTTAGCATAGCAATACTAACAATAAGCTGTTGCCTATTTAACCCCATCCACATTATCGAATTATATTTGACAAAAACGTGTGACATGCCAAAAATGGTCATGATGAACATATATGGGTAGGGCGCTACTTGTGGAATCCATCCCATTGGCTGACTAAAAGTATTGACAGTTTGCTGACTACTGTTGTCATGGCCTCATAATTGTGCAAAATGTTCCCAAACAGTGTCATCTTTCTGTCACAATAATAAATCTTTTTTTTTTTTTTTTTTTTATAGGCCAGCTTCTTCAGCATTGATAATGAACAGTTTGATGCATACCCGGTACATGTTAAAATTCTTCCAAATAAATTGAGGTTTTTCATCAATGAGGAAACAAATCAGACAAGGTGACCATGGAGAAATGCAGATAGTAAACAACAAAGGTACAATTGGGGCTTAATTTGTCCATTAAGCCTTGTTTTCTTAAAATCACTACACTATCGCTACAGTGTTTTTATTAAGATCATTGTACTGCGTAGCTGTCCCCAATGCAACTGAGCAATCACCAGCACTGAAGCCTGTCGGCGATAGCATGTAGCGATTGTATGGAAAACAGGTTTTCTGACCATTATATACAGTATTGTGTTATAACACACCTAAATGAATTCGGTATCATGTCACATTGTTATTTACGCCATTTCATCAGGTAAAATCGAAATAAATTTCATTGCATAACTGGATCTAATACAATCTTTTCATTGGTTAACAGATAATGGAAAAAAGGTATATCATTAAAATTTTCCTAAGTATCAAATAACAAAGATCTATTTGAGGTGCGTTATAAACAGTTTTCACATCACAGCATTAATTACTGTATACAGATACTGAATGTTTTTATTCACACAATCTAGTGCAAATGCAGAAGGGGTGCAGACGACAGTGCAATCTCACCCCTAAATTGTATTAAGAAAAACAACTGTTGCATTGTATTGTTAAAATTTTATTTGAACACAAGATTTTTAAAGCATGAGAGTTTTCTCACCTCAGCCAAACCATTGTAGGGCTGAGGTCGTGTGGACTCTCACGCACCCCACCACAATCCTGCGTCCGCCCCAGACAATAGAAAGAATATATTCATGAGTTGAAAGATCGACTGTAAATATCAGGAGTGTGGGGAGTCTCCAGCGTGTTGGGCAAAGCTATCACTAGATTTCCTGTGGAGGCACTAATCATCTGAGGTCAGAGGAGGATATGTCTGTGCGAGGAATTGCCAATTTACTTTGTTTTGTACTTCAATTAATTTAGTGAGAAACTAAAAAAAAAACCTTTGTTTTCTTTGTTAGATTGACGTACTCTGGGTCAGCTGTGCTCACAATGCTAATGACATGGACAGAACACCAACTCATTACATGTCTTGTTGAGGTTCCTTGTGGCAGTATATCAGACAGCAACAATGCAACTCGATTTGTTCTGTTATTACTCTCATATCAATTTATTGCCTCCAATAATTCTATTTCAGTTCATTGGTATCGATTTATTAAATGACTGTGTGAATAAAGAACATTTATTATTTTATAATCATTAAAAGGATATGAAAGAAGATACATTGTTGAATTACTTATTATTGTCAAAAGTAATTAAAAATACTACATTTTTAAGCATATTTTACTTTTAAATTGTGCTCTAACTAATGTGTACAATTAAATGGAATGTATTACAGTACCTCAACAATATCTATGATAGTTTGTCTGGAATGTATACAAATAATGTTGGATAATACTTGACAGCATTTTAAATAAGAATGCTTGCTCCAAAGCTAGCGAATGTCTATGGTTCAACCTTAGGCTGTTGAACCATAGACAAACTCTGCGCCACCACTACTTTCTGATAAACCAAAACCTCAAACCATCAAAATGTGGAAGAAATTAGACATTTACCTGCTACAACCATTCTGCCAGAAATAGCGAACCTTGACACCACCTGGACCGTAGGCTTTCCAAGTAAAACCCCCTTAAGGCAAGACTTTTTTTATACCTTGTTTCGTGAACATACTCTTTGTTATTGTATTGTATTGTTATTAAAATGTTATTAGTGAATGTAAACAGCGTAGATTAGGATGGTTAAATGTTTTAAATTTATATAATTAGGAAGAAATATACATTTCTTGTTTTTAGAGATTTCAAGGCAGTGGTGGGCATTATAAAAATACAGAACTTTTCTGAAATATCCATTTATTTGTGGTGTATTATTTGCCAAAAAAATTAAATTTTATTTTTTATTCAAAATCATTATTGGCATGCTGCGGGTTTGATAAACAAGGTATAACTAAAGTCTCGCCTAAGGAATCTAGCTTATAGGC